CTGGATGTCAATGGTGCAGGCTAAGGGGAAGTTCAGTGGATTACAGCTGCACTTAAATTCTTTACTGATGTTCCTGGGGACTGCATTAAGCTCATCACTGTTGAAAACAATGTCTGTTAAAAGTACCCAATTACACATTCCCTTGATTAAATTTAATTTTGGACAAGGAAATGCATAATACCCAGAAAATTCAATAGTGGTAGTAAATCAGAATATCTGTTTTTGTTACTCTTTTATATAGTAAACTGCTAAAGATAAGTTTGTTTAAAAAGCATAATTTCAATAAGCATAGTAGGACAAAATTAAGGTAAGAATGCAGTAGTTTGGAAGGATAGCTTATGAACTTGTATAGCACATCATTCTGCAAAAGAAGACACATGGTTGGGTATCAATCAGTGTTCTTATGTGACATGCATAAAGCACCATTAATGTAATCAAGCTGTAGCTAACCCTTTTAAAAAATATCATCTGCTTACAAATTCCTTACCAAATTCAGAGCAAATAACTTTTCAACTTTTCTAGCTACCAATGTTCACAGCTGTATCTTACTGAAAGAGCAGCTTCTGTCTTTCCGTGGGCAGTTGCCTTAAAAAAGATGGAATCATAAATTAGTTTATACCTTTCGATTACTGGATTACATTCAAGGCTTAGAGCCGGACCTAGGAATTCCTGCTAACACCATTCTGAAGAGTCCTTACTTCCAGAAGACTGTGCTTGTTTGCCAGGCATTGCTTACTGTCATAGTTAAAGCACGCCCAGTGCTTTAGTGTTACTAAAGAACAGGAGCGTTGGGTGAAAAAGCGAGCAGCATTCCTTGATGCGAGCATATGGCCTGAATACTGTAATGTTGAAATATGTGATTTTTAACTTTAGCCACTAGATGTCCTTTGAGTTTGCAAAAGTCCCCTGAATGCCATTAGGAGCACCTCTGTACCTTTGCTTAGATCGTAAACTTTCAAATTCTAAGGTTAACATTTTAAGCCTTTAAAATTTCCTAAAGCTGTAGTCTGAGATGGTAAGAAGCATTTTTTTTAAAGCTTTGGAGAATATACCTGAAAAGAGCCTGTTTTATCTATCTTATCAGATTTTTCTCTTTTCATCGACCTTTCCGTTCTGTGTTTCCAATGCTCTTACGTAGTCCACATTTGTGAGGAAACTATAGGACAGAAATTTTGCTGGGGCAAGCAAAAGGGAAAAAGCTATAAAAATATTTCCCTCTCTGTTCTGAACAAAGTACAGAATGCTGGGCATTGCTTAATGTATGGCAGAGTAAGTGCTAAACATTCCCTGTTGCTGGGAGGCTGTTGCTTGGAGGTGGCTAGAATTTCTGAGCTACAGCTTAGGTCTGTTCCCTTCTGCTTTTCCTATCAGTTTTGAGGAGATTTCATATCCTTTTTGTACATGCCGCCATCCTTGTAGGGAACAGCACATCATTCTTCAAACCCATTAGTGCAAGATGTTCACAGGCAGAGTAAGGTGCTGCCCTGTAAGATGGTTGAGTTTGACCCATAATTCTGTAATTAAACCTATTAATGCTAGGCTTTTATGTCTGTTGTGCACCATGCTGTTTCATTGCTTATGCTGCATAACAGCCTTCTCCCAGCCTTCATTTAACTTCTGCTTGATTTAGAGCATAAATGTTAGAAAGTTTTTTGATGAATGTATTTTTTTAAAATATAGCATACATAGATTCCTCCTCTGTATGTATAGCATACAACAGAGATTTCAGAGTTTGCAGGGAAGTTAATAGAGCTGTTAAGCCTTGATTCTGCTGTGTCTTATTGCTGGTAATGTAGAGCTTTGAGGGATGGGAGCTACTGGGTGAATTATGCTGCAAACAGGGAATAGCCAGTCTGGAGCTAGTTGCTGTGTTTGGTGTCTATGTGGCTTTACATATTTGAGCACCAGGCTCCATGTCACCTTCTCCAGCATTTGCTGTGTCCTCTTCCTGGCTTTCAGTGAATGGAGCTATGGTCTTTACTGATTTCTGACAACCTGGGAAGCAAGAGCTCTGAGACCTAAAATGTTCTGGCATCTTGGAAACTCCTAACTTCTCCGAAACAAACAAACAAACAACAACAACAAGAAAAACTACTAACCACTAAATCCTTCTTAGAGTATACCTGTTCTCTGTGCCTAAGACTGTCACACATAAAGATTGCTGTGATTTTGAGTAGAAGAAAGAAAAACTTCACAAAGCAACATAAAAATCATTTCTCCTCTTTTTTCTTGTCCTCTTTTTTTTCCCCGCCCCCTTCCCCTCTCTCTGTGTTTGACTGTAGTTCTGGACACATCCACAAAGGTATTAAGGCTCCTCAATTCCCACTAAAATCCTTGAGAAGCAAGGGATGTCATTTGGATTTAGAAGCCTAAATATGCTTTGCAAATCTGTAAAATGGAAAACACAATCTCACTGCAGATAGGCACTTTCACTGTTTGATGGAGTATCAGCATTGCACTTCCTGCCTCTAGCACTCGGGCGACAACATCAGTTTTCAGGCATCAGCTCTCTGGAGGGAGGCACTGGTTTTCCCCAGACCATACAAGAAAGCAGTTACCAGTCAAATTAAGAGGAAAGCTGAAACTAACTGAAGAATCATCTGGCTTGTAACTTTGCAGAGACAAACAGGAAGAGTGGTGAACCTGGGCATATTTTGTATGTTACCCCTGTGCCCACTCTCTCTTTCTTTTGGCAGAACAGAAAACCACCTTCTTTTTTTTTTTTTTCTTTTTCTCAAGGAATTAGGAAAAGAGATAAAGGTCATGTTGTATGCTGCAGTGGAGCATAAAACCCCCTAATGTAAGATGAGCCTAGTGAACAAGGCGCTGGATATTTACACAGCACACCAGATACTACTCTGCAGTGCTTACTGCGCAGCTTGGAAGTTTTACAGATGGGAATCCAGATGCAGTGGGATTAAACAGCTTGCCAAATACCCTTGGGAATCTATAACGAAGTTAGGAGTGAAACTCCATATATCCTGAGTTTCAGCCTGTATTTTTTTTACCAGACTCTAATTCACGAAATTCTAAACTTTAAACTATTGAAATTGTGCTTTGTTTAATCACAGAATGGTTGAGGTTGGAAGGGACCTCTAGAGATCATCTAGTCCAACCCCCACCCTGCTCCAGCAAGGACACCCAGAGCATGGGGCACAGGGTGGCATCCAGGCGGGTTTGGAAGATCTCCAGAGAAGGAGACTCCACAGCCCCTCTGGGCAGCCTCTCCCAGTGCTCTTGCACTCTCACAGTAAAGAAGTTCTTCCTCCCATGGAGATGGAACTTCCTGTGTTTCAACTTGTATCCATTACCCCTTGTCCTGTCACTGGCCACCACCAAGAAGAGTTCAGCCCCATCTTCTTTACATCCTCCCCTCAGGTACATGTTGATAAGATCTCCTCTCAGTCTTCTCCAGGCTAAATTTGATTAAGAAGACAGATGCTTTTCAAAATTAAAATTAGCACAAATTGTTGGGTTTACGTCTAAGAGTTAGTCTGAGATAGAAGGGAAAGCTTATGAACATAGGCTCTGATGTAAGCTTTTTGTCTTTCCTCTGAGACTCACAACAAATGATTCTGGGAAAGCCATGCCATAAATGTTGTGACTCAATTACAGGTACTAAATCTATGAGTCTGAACTTATTAATCAAAATTATGTTTACGATCTAGTGAATCAAAATTATCTTTGTGATCTGGTAGCAGCCTAATGTGGCCAGTGTACATTTTCATGCGCGAGCTGTGGAAGGGCTTTTCTGCAAGCAGACTATTTATCTTCCCACCTGACCAAAGATTCTGGATGATAATCCAATTCCTCTCACTCTCTTCCAGGCTTTCATTAAAG